GCATTTCCTCTGTCCCCCCTTCCCCAGTGATCAGACTGATGCAGACAGGAGGACTCATTTCCTCTGTCTCCCCTCCCCCAGTGATCAAGCAGGAGGAAGCATTCTCCTGCAGGCAGGAGGTGGCATTTATTCGATCTCCTCTTCCCCCCAGTAATCAGACTGCAACACTGTAACTGTAGCAAGTCACAAGGTGAGAGGTTGCTGCATGCTGCTGTCTGTGTCCCCTCTGATCCCTGCTGCTTTTCCCCCTGCCTGAATCGGCAGAGGCAGTGGGGATTGGAGAGGGCACAGGTCCCAGCGGGGAGGAGAAAGCGGTCAGGAGGCTGAGTGGGGCGGTCCGTGAAGGAGAGCTGCGGGACCATCAGTAAATATGTGAAATATTTGCTGATCGTTCCCTGTAATATTCAAACATTGCTGTGATCAGTGCTCACTATGATGTTTGTAAATATAATTGAGGACATATTATTCAGATACTGGGTCCCCAATTGGGAATGAACAGGATGTGCGCTACATCACTTCCTGTTCATTCATGATTGTGGACATTGTATCTGTTTACTATCTCCTCGTTTTTATGAATGAACAGGAAGCCGCTGTACTGAGAGCTTCCTGTTCATTGCGGGGGCTGCAGAAAAAGAGATTGAGGACTCTGTTCCCAATGTCTTTTTCTATTTTAAAAGGGAAATATCAGGGGTTGGTGTAGACCCCTGATATTTCCCTGCACTAAAGGAAAAAAAAATTAAAGTTAATTAAATAGCCCCCCCCCCCCCAAAATAAAATAAAAATTAAAAAAGGTGGGAAAAGTAATTTTCAGTTTCGGCCTGACAAATTCTGGTGCGGGAGGTGCGTTGCGGTGCCATTCATTTCAATTACAGCCCAAATGCTCCTTCCCGCAGTGCGATCGCCCGCACCAGAACATGCGGTACCGCAATGCCATGCGTTCCAGTGTGGTGCAATTACAAAAAATTGTGCATGCAGTTTTCATTCTGAAGTCAATTTTGTTTGCAACGCGGCATTTGTGTATTTTATTTTAAGTTTAATGATGGCATTTATTTTATTTTATCCGATTCATTGAAAAATGAATCAGTCAACTAATCGTATAATGTTTGTAGTGTGCCTGCCGCCCCGTTCCCGGCCAGAGCATCCCAGGTTGCTATGGGCAGTTGCAAGCCTCCAGCTCAGCTCCGATCACTGGACGTCACTTGTTTCCAGGAGCTGAGCTGGACGCACCCTCCCCACGGTTAGCATGCACCACTGGCACCCATAACCCCCCACCCGCCGCCACCTTAGGCAGTGAACACGCTAGAGACACCCCCGGCTATAGTGATGTATGAGGGTTACACGGATAGAGTCAATGCTCTTGAGTACAAGTTCACTGATTTTGATATGCAATTAACACTTCATGTCTCTTTACTATAGATTTTTTTTATTCAATTATATTTATTCACATATTTGTAATGAGGATTTATTGATTCAGCATCGTGAAATTCCTTTTTGTCTTTACATTTGTTCTTTCGATTTTTGCTCGAGTCGTGCTGCTTTCAAAACTCAATCAGTCCGGCATATCTAATACAGGTAATACATATCTGGAAGTGTTTTTTGCTTTTTGCACACGGACTAAAAGAAGCCACAATTCAGACAATTCATCCCCACACAGCTACCTCCTCATGTATCACTGGCCCCTCCCTTTTAGATTGTAAGCCCTCAGGGGCAGGGCCCTCCTCACCATCTTGTCTTGAATTGTATTGTGATTGTAATGTCTTCCTTATATTGTAAAGCGTTGCACAAACTGTTGGCGCTATATAAATACTGCATAATAATAATAATGCCACTTTACACCTAGGATATTTGTTGCAGGTGATTCAGCGCGACAAAAGGCCCAGCCCCAGGAATCCCATTCTTTTCCATGGCCCCTGTTCACACCTTTTGCGTTTTTCTTGCATGCCTACAAAAGCGCAATATAGTACATGAGCTACTTTGGGGCAGATTTCAGCGCGTTTTTTCCCCATAGACTCTAGAAAACGCTAAAAAAATGCGCTTTGCTATTAATTTTTGTGCGTGTTTTACCCATTCACATGAATGTGCCAAAATCTGCTCACAAACGCACGACTTTACATACGTGTGCAAAAACCACTCACAAAAAACACGCCATAGGTGTCTCTTTGGTGTGAATGCAGCTTTAGAGCTCTACAGTGTTTTTTGTTTTTTTGCTGTTTGTGTCTTCTTTTTTTTTAGTCAATAGCCTATGAGTCCATACACCTTTTGGTGTTTAGATCTGTAATCCGGAGCAGCTTCCCGGGATGCAAATAAAAATTCCCCAAACTTGTGTTCAGAGAGGAGCGTGCTAGTGTTATTTTATTCTAGTGGCTAGTATGAATGTTCAAGTATTTGCTCATAAATGCGAGTACTTTACACACTGTGACATGCGTATTTCAGGCTGGCAGCAAGATCCGTCATGAGTATTCTAATGCATGACCCGTTACACGGACACATTACGGAGTATGCAGATGACAGGTCCACTTTAAAATATTTTGCTCTGTATGTCCAGCCGATGTCTGTGTATATTTGCCACAGCCTATCCCACCTCAAACTAACCACTGAACCATTACGTTCTCAAACAATTCATCCCCACACAGCTACCTCCTCATGTATCACTTCCCCCTCCACTTTTAGACTGTAAGCCCTCAGGGGCAGGGCCCTCCTTACATCTTGTCTTGAATTGCATTGTGATTATAATGTCTTATATTGTAAAGCGCTGCGCAGACTGTTGGCGCTATATAAATACTATGTAATAATAATAATAATTTGCTCTTCTATAGATATTTTATTGTTGATGTGGATACATGTTCAGCCCATGCAAAAAATTTCCTTAACAATCCCTTCCACCTCAGCAGCAGCAGTACCGCGAGTGCCAGGAGATGCTGAGCCTGTACCAGAAATACCTGTCCGAGCAGCAGGACAAGCTGAGCCGATCGCTGTCTGACCTTGGTGCCGGGAGCGTCCAGCCCCATCAGGTGAGCTTGACCGTCTGCCACGTCTAATAACGAAGCTGCCTTCCACCTCCCAGCTCTGATCAGGCGTCCCCCCTCCTCTGCCCTCAGTGTGTCACGCAGGCTTGCGGGTCGTGTAAGCCGCGCACAGTCTCTGAAGTGCTCAGCAGGGCAGCGGGGAGCCGAGCGTGGCTTCCTAATGAAGAGCAATTAGCGCACTGTATATTTCCTAATACAGTAGAAAGGACATTTTAATGGTCGAATCAATTATGCAAATCGTCTCGCCTCTGCGGAGGTGCAGATAATGTTTGTTGGATGTAGAGAGCAGTCCATACAAATGTGGAAAGTGGGAATATGATGATTCCGGCACATAGTAAATGAGCGCGAGTGTGTTGTATATCTTTGGGGTTTTTTTCTCCTCTGCACTGCAAGGCCTCATTCACACAGCTAAGCGCCGGCCCGTACAGATCCGTGCGGCGTGCAGGGCCGTATCAGGGCGCTCCCTGGAAGGAGAGGTGCTGCGTGTGATTTGTACCCAGCAACCTGTTCTCTATGGGAGTACACGGGAGTACGCTCGCCCGTATTGAACGTCCGTGAGCGTAGGGCAGCGTACGGCCGCGTATTCCCATAGAGAAGAACAGGCTGCTGCGTACAAATCACACGCAGCACCTGTCCTTCCCGGGAGTGGCCCGATGCACGCCGCACAGATCTGCACGGGCCGACAATTAGCTGTGTGAATGAGGCCTAAAGCTGAACTCCAGGCAAACGGCTAAATACAACAATGAATTATGTATGGGGGAGCAGTTTTATCTGCCAGAGGATTTGTATTTCGGTCCATCCAGTCCTAAGACTTACACAGCTCTGCCTCGCAGCACAGCCCGGGAGACCTGACTTCTCTTGCTGCTCAGTAACACAGGTCTTGCCCCCCCTCCACCCAGTGACAAGACAGTGAAAGGAGAAGCAGCAGACTGATGAGCTTATCTTTGTCACTCTGCTCTATAGTATCAGTATGCTTCTTGCGCATGTGCCGCTTTACCTTCTTCCAGTTTAATGTCTGCTGTGCAGGGACTGCAAGAGGTTGGTACCCTATAACAACGCTTTTATTGCCATTTTTAACAGAACAAAATGAAGCAAATAAGAGAAGTTCATTGTTGGGGTTTTACACACACTTTAAGTGATAGGTTCACCATAATTGTCATGTGACTTTTTCTCTTCCGTTCACTGAATCTCTCACCATTGGGTCATTGGACAATGTTCAGAGATTTAAGATCTCTATAGAGAAAATGGTTTTTCAGGCAGTACAAAAACTCATATTTCTCTTCTGTTTATTGGAGGAGACAGCGGAGATCCTGATCTATAACCGATGGGTTATACTGCCACCTACAGGAGTCGGACACTAGGCAAAAAAGCAGGCCCATCGGTTGAAGATCAGGATCTCCGCTGTGTCCTTCAATGAATGGAAGAAAAATGGTATTTCTTATACTTACTGTTTTTCTCCATTGAGGGTCACAGCTCTGAAGAATTCTTGAGGTTATGCTGCCGCCTCTGGGAGAAACGGACACTAGGCAAACGAAAAGCCTGTCACTTTAAAGGAGAACTGTGAGGTGAGTGATTTCCACTCATCCTCATAGAGCCGACCTGTGACAAAGAAGCTGTCACAGGCCGGCTCTATTGATTGGGAAGTGAGCGAACATATAACGTCACTCGCTCACTTTCTGATGATCTCCCTGCAGAGAGCGGTGACTGTCACTCACTGCTCCCCGCAGGCATTACCCCCCCTCCCCTCTCCGATCTTCCAGTGCTGAGTGGAGGAATGGACGGGGAAGGGGGCGGGCACTGCTGGCTCTGCCTCTAGATAGGCAGAGCCAGCTGTCGCACAGCTGGGTGGATCCAGAGAGTATTGTCGGGTTCCGTCCCGGCTCTGCGCTCTCAGTATATCATGGGCAATAGCTCGCTATATACTGAGCTTTGGGTCACGGGAAGAGGCTAGTATATGTCCTCCCGTGACCCTAAAGAGAACTCGAGGGGAAAAACACTGACCCCCATAGTTCTCTTTAAGGACATAACCCCTCCCACCTGGCAGTTCCCCTTAGTGTCTTCAGGAGAATGGATGTCTCCTTCTATTCTGCTTCATTATTTTAGTTTGTTTTGTTTCTTCGCGGAAGATTCTACTACCAAGAGCTGCAAGCTGATCCATATCGGATATTATTAAATCCTGGGAGTCTCTCTAGGTAGCCGACAAAAATGAGAGATTCAGGCCGGATAGGTTAAATCCTGGAAGATTCTCTAGCTGTCATGAAGCCGGTCTTTTCTGGTCTCAGTACTTGTGCTTCATCCTGGGGTGGTCCTGTGTTCCTGTTTTCATCATATAACGGTCAGGCCAGTAATATCTAGAGATTCTTGTTATGTCGGGAACAGGACCGTGGAGAGACTTCCCTCTTTCTTGGGTACTGATGACGCAGTTTTCACTCAGTAAGGAGCAGTATGGTTTTCCTACTAACGCTGTTACATTGACTCCTTCGCAGGCTAGAACAGGAAGGAATTCCAGTCATCATTGTCACACCAGACTGGCCTCGCAGGGTGTGGTATGCCGATTTGGTTTATCTTTTGGAAGACGATCTCTGGCTAATTCCAGATTGGCCAGATCTCTTGTCTCGGCGGTCAATCTTCTACCTTTCTTCTCGGTCGCTGGCTTTAACAGCCTGGTTGTTGAAACCCAAGTGTTTGAAAGGCAAAGGAATTTCCGATTCTGTTTTTCCAACTATGCTTAAGACTCGTAGATCTTTTATCTGTAAGATTTGTGAATAAGTTGAGGAAAAGTCCAGGAGATGAGCGCTCTACGAGTGGCTGGGAGGGGGTATTGGGGCCACAGGGTGTGCTGCTTCTCAAATGTGCGCACCGGGGTGTCCCGAGCTTGTACCGAAGAAAACCAAAAGGGGAAGGGTAGAGAAGCGCCAACAACCTAGCGTGGATTAGCAGGTGTATGGAGATTCAAAAGGAAGTTCTGAGTGTTATAATAAATGGATACGTATCCATCTACCTCTGCCAACACCCTGATGCCCCAGATGCCCAATTGGAAGTGCTGACACTCCACCACACAGCACCACCTTCCTGAAATTCTCCTCCAGGGTGTTGGCAGAAATAGATGGATACGTATGCCCGATCGGAAGTGCTGACACTCCTCCACACAGCACCACCTTCCTGAAATTCTCCTCCAAAAGCCTCAAATAATTCACCCAGATGTGAGTATAACACTCAGAACTTCCTTTTGAATCTCCATACACCTGCTAATCGCGCTAGGTTGCTGGCGCTTCTCTACCCTTCCTCTTTTGGCTTTCTTCAGTACATGTAAGATTTATCCTCGTACATGGAAGGTTTATTTTTGTTTTTCCTTGGGATTTTATGTCGTGTGTTTTTTCACTATCGTGAATTTTGTCTTGTCTTCAACGCGGGGGAGATCATTGTTTCGCTCTACATACCATAATGTGTCCGATTTATCTGCCTTGTCTGACCTTTTTCAACGTCCTCTTGCCTCTAATTCCTTCGTACTCCTATTCAGGAAGTTCCACGTGTGGCTCCCCCTGTTAGGTCTTCTCTTCCTCTGTGGGATTTGAACTTGGTTTTATCTGTTCTATAAAAACCACCTTCTGAACCTATCCAAGTCCTTCCTTTATCTTTGCTATTCTAAAAGGTCGCCTTTCTTGTGCTCATTACTTCAGCTAGAAGGGTTTCCGAGTTGTCTGTTTGTTTTTTGTTTTGTGGAGATCCCTATTGGTTCTTCAAGGACAAGATTGTTTTAAGACCGCAGGTTTCTTTTTCACCCAAGGTGGTTTCAGCCTTTCATTTCAACAAAGACATTGCTTTACCTTTAATTTGTCCAGCTCCTGTTCATCCTAAGGATATTTCTCTTCATTGTTTGGATGCTTTGCGGGCTCTAAGAGTTTATCTGTCAGCCGCAACTCCCTTTAGGCGTTCAGATTCTTTTTGTTCTACGTGAAGGTCCTAGAAAAGGTTGTTCGGCTTCTAGATCCACTATTTCTAAGTGGATTGGTTAGGTTGTCATTCAAGCATATGAGTTGCGGGATAAGGTTCCTCCTTTCCCTGCTTCTTGGGAATTTTAGAATCAAGCTTGTGTTACTCAGATTGCAAGGCCGCAACTTGGTCTTCTGTTTACACTTTTACCAAATTTTGTTGGTGCCGTAAAATCCTTTCTCAGAGCCCATGTTAGGATCCAGAGCGCCTCCAGGTGGCGCTGGAGCTAAGCCCTGCAGTTTCCGTACTCACCTGCAGGGGTCTCCAGGCAGCCAGGAACTGCTAGGTACCAGACCTCCACTGGGGGGTGCTGGAAACTGCAACCCCAGTGCTCACCTGTAGGTGTCTCCCAGCTGCCACCAATTATCCACCACTTGGTGCTCCCTGGGAGGGTACTTAAGCCCTCCCTGCAGTCAGGTCTGTGGCTCAGTATTGTTTCCTGTTAAGCCCGAGTCCCCAGTCCTGTAACCTGCTTCTGTTCCCGAGTCCGGTAACCTGCTCATGTTCCTGAGTCCTGTTGCCCTGCTCCCCAGGTTTTCCTGCCCTGTTATACCCTGTGTAGGTGTTCTGTGGTTTGCTCATAGTTTTGGTTCCTTTATGTTATCCATTTGTATGTGCTTGGTTTGTGTTGTTTTGCTCCTTATAATAAACTGTATATCATGCATTCTGCCTTGTCCTGTGTGGTCACACGTGTTTGGTCTGCCTGTGCGAGTACCTGCGCAGGTGTGGAGTCACCTGTGCCGGTATCCCTGACAGTCCATTTAGGGATACAGCTCCCTCCCCTCACACTGCTTGCCGCAACAGGCGGGTGGGAGGGGTTATATTCCTGTAAAGTGGCAGGCTTTTAATTTTTTTGCCTAGTGTTCCTTTCTCCTAAAGGCAGCAGCATAACCCTAGGTGTCACGATCTGGGATCAGGCTCAGAGTCCAGTAGCTGAACCAGCAGGCAATTTGTGGTATAAAGGGCCGGGTTTGGTACACAAGCAGAGGGTA